TCTTTTTTTTGAATTTTTTACTTTTTTTATTCCATGTCATTTTTTAAACAACCAATGAGATGCATTTTCCCCAATAACCTAAATAATTTCTTCTCCTAAAATTTCTCATAAACTACCTACCCCACTATCACCCACTTTCTCTAAAATTATCTCTAATTCCTATTTATTTTTTAAATTATCTCTAATTCCTATTTATCTCCAAAATTATCTCTCATTTAGTAGAGAGTTTCTCTACTAAATTATCTCTAATTCTTATTTATCATCTCCCCTACTTTTTATTTATTTATATCTATCTAAAGAAAGTTTGGATTAATAAATTTAAGAATTATTTAAATATTCTAACAAAATTATATAATAACTTTAAAATATTTATTAAAACTCAAAAAAAAAATTTATATTTTTACAAAATATATAACAAAATTATGTACTAACAATTTAAATTATGTTTTTCTGGATTATCAATTTAAATTTTTTTCAATATTTAATAATATGTAATAGCTTAAATAAATAAAATTCAAATAAAAAAATTAAATATTTTATAGATTATTTAAATATTTAAATGACTAAATATTTATCATAACTAGATTTTAAATAGTTAAAATAACAAAATTATGTAATAAATTTAAAAATTTTCTTCAAAGTAGAAAAATAATTATAACATAATATCGAAATTAATAATAATTTAATATATTACAAAATTAATAATTAAATTATGTAATAAAAGTATAAATTATGATTTTATGGATAATTGAATTTAATAAATAATTCATATCTTAAAATTTAAATATTTTACATATTCTTTAAGTATTTAAATAACTAAATATTCTTTAGCATAACTAGATTTTAAATAGTTAAAATAAAGAAATTATGTAATAAATTTTAAAAAATTCTAAAAAGTAGAAAAATAGTTATAACAGAATATTGAAATTAATAATGATTTAATATTTTTACATAATATTTTAAATGATTAATTTCACTTATATCAAGTAATAATTCGAGAAAATAACTATTAAAAAATTAATATTTATTAATAATAATTTTAAACTCTTAATTTGTATTTATTATATATTTATATATACTAAAATTAATATTTATTGTTTTTTGTGATAAATGTATTTTCAAGGATTATGTATACATTTAATTTGTTTTGTTATTTAACAGAAAGCTTTCGATAATTATTGGAAATTAAATTACTATTATTGAAATTCTTAAATTTAATTTATTGTACTTATTGTATTTTTGTTATAAGATTGATTAATATTTATTAGAGATTAAACTATTGTTTGAGATTATACTATTTATTGACTAATTTAATATATTTTTAGTACTTATTGTATTTTTGTAATTTCTATAATTATTGTATTTTTCATTATCAATATATTTTCAATGATTGTGTATTTTTGCTATAAATTTTCAATAATTATTGGAGATTAAACTATTGTTATTTATCAAAGATGAGATTATTAATTTAGCTGAAATTATGAGTGTTCATGAGTTGGTACGGTTCGGTCGTAGGCTATTTGACCAACAAATTGGCCTGGTCAAGTTAGGGAGTTGGTTAGTTGAAACTAACTAACCTTTTATGAAATCCAACCCACTCAAGTTGTATCGGTTCAAAAGATTTAAACTTAAAAATTAAATTAAATTTTAAAAATTATAGTGCAATTATTAAAAAATAATTTAAAAAAAATAGATTTATGATATAAAACATTTTAGACTAAGAAACATGGGAAAATTCCCACTTTTCCAAATTAAAAGTTATATTTAAAATATAGAATATTAATATATATCCATGGTTAGGTCATTCGATTTTGGTCGGTTTACAAATGGCCAAAGTGAAATTGATCCAACTTGGTCAAATTGGGAAATTTTTTAACCAAAGCCAACCTAAAATACTAGAAAGCTGACCAACTCGGATCAAGTTAATCGGGTTAGTCGGTTTCATCAGTTTGATGAATAAACCTAACTGAAATTAATTATTGTTATTTTTGTATTATCAAAATTTTATTAAAAATAGTATATAAAATATGAATAACTATTAATTATTTAAAAAGTTGAAAATATAAAACAATTGTATACTCTTATGTGTTTCTATTAGGATCATTTAATAGAACACAGCTTTAGGGATGACAATTTTCCCCATCCCCGATGGGGACCCGACTTCCCCAACCCAATGGGGCTGGGGATGGGGATTGTTTTGGCAGGGTGGGGATGAGGACGGGGATTAATAGGAATCCCCAGCCGAGACCGGAGTCAGGGATGGGGATTGAGGTCCTTGCCCCGCCCGACCTCGATTATATATATATATATATATATCAAAACATATTTAAAACATTATTTATAATTAAAATTTTTTATTTATTTAAAAAATACTATTATCTGAAAACATTTTGGGGATTCGGGTCCCCATGGGGAATCCATCCCCGTCGGGGATTGGGGTAAATTTTATGATCGGGGTCGGGGACAGGGATTATGATCCCCGTTCCATTGCCATTTCTACACACCTTATAGTTTAACACATTTACTTAAACCTACCTTATAGTTTTCATTTTACTAAAACATCCCATATATTTTACAACTTATTTACTTAATCAACCTTTCCTTAAGGAGTGTTTGTTTTGTCATTAGGTCAATGATTTTTAATTCCAAAAATACCCTTAACACTTTTTTTGTATAAAAATCAAAATTGACCAAATATAGCCAATAGAGTGGTTGTCTGTGTCTTATTAAGGGAAAAAGTGGTATTCTTATTTTTATTTTTCTTGTAATTAAATTTATTTAAATGAGTATTAGGGTCAACCCTGTCATCTAATGGAAGATTGATTAAATCTATTGCAAATTATAAGTGGTGTTTTAGTAAAATGCTAACTATAGTGTAGATTTTAGTAAATCCATGAAACCATAAGGGGTATTTTAGTAAATGACATTTTCTATTATTTAGCTTTCGCTTAATAAATCCCATGCATCATGCGGGTCCCCGCTAGTGATATTATATTAAGTATCAAATTGGTTTGCTTTTTATATACCAACTTATGAGATCCCTTTTGAGTTAAATACCTAGGTATATTGGAGCATATTGAAAGGGTACTTGAGTGAGTAATCATTGTAATAGGATTAACTACTTTGTCAAACAAAGAGAATATCAGAGTTACACTCTCTTTGATGAAAATCTAAAACTGTCAACAATGGATTTTACAAGTTTTCATAATTAATTTTACAATCGTATTTATATTATTAAATAATTTATTTTAAAAATTATTTGCAAATGATTTTAATTTGTGAGTCCAAATGAGTAAAGAGTATGTCTATGTATGTATTTTCTAGTTGCGGAAGCAGTTGTTAATTATTATTGGTTGAAAAGTCAAATATCAAATTTGACTAATTACCTGTTAGGAATTTCTTAGTTCAAGTTAAAGAATCTGAACTCATAGGATGGCTAAAACCCAGATTAATAACATTTAGACATTAGTGGGCCGAATTTAGGCCCAATCCACTAGTGGACAATTCACTATATAAGACAAAGTGAATTCGGCCATAGTGGGTCTGATTTGCTTAGAGTGTAGGATCCCATGTGTAATTTTAATTTGGAATAAGATTGTATGGGTTCACACCATACAAGGTCGATTTCCAAATCAGTTTGAAAGTTTGGAAAGAGTGTAAATACAAATATATACAATATAAATATATATATAAAATAATACAAAATACATAGCTTTGCACTCTGCATATTTGTAGTTATACTCCTTCCAAACTGAGCACTAATTTGACTAGGAAAGTTGTTCCCAATTAGAAACTTGTCATCTATCCTGAATTACTTAAGAAATTTGTCTATTAGGGTTTGCGGAATCAGTTGAGATTTATATTTAGAGTCTAAATCTCCTGCCCACAAGAATTCTTCCTTCAACATTTATTTTTCAAGAAAATAAAAGTGTTTTTTACAACAAATAATCTTGGATTTATTCAAGACATTGGCAAGATTTGATCTATTCTCTTGCACTCAATCAGTTGGCAATTGTTCATTCTCTTCCAAGTGATGGAGATTCGGCCATCACAAGGATGGCTACACCATCTTCGGCTGGTGGTAGTTTTGAGACTTTAGGATCTGTAATTGTGGTCTCTCTTATTAAGTAACATCCTACCCAATTTGTTGGAACCAAATCTTCTACAGGGATGTTTGGAACCATGGCCGTTTTTCAGAAAAATGGTGCCACGTCGGATTTACATAAGCATTTTAATTTTCAACAAACGCCATGTTGCTCATTGTTTGATTCAGCCGATTTAAAAAAAAAAATGGGTATGCCTAGAAAATCGGGGGACCACCGATGCATGAAACGCCAACCGTTGCCCTCAACGGTTAACTGAGCTGGCAAAAAGTGGCTCCTACATGCCGCTTATGTGTAATCTGAGTTGGCATCAATGGCAATGTTCTGGTGCTTCTCGGCCCACCAGAACATTAACCCAATAAATGGTAGGGTTAGACAGTCCTCTTCCTTCTTCTTGCCGCCGAACATCCCAGAGCCTCTATAACCTCTGCTCGCCGGAAGAGGTTTGTCTCTATACTTTTTTTTTCCTCTGTGTAAGTTCATTTTTCTCGGTAAAATCATTTTCTTTTCCTTCTCTGTAAACCAGATGAGATAGAACCATGAAGTTTGCTTTCCTTCTCGTTTTGATAGAACCATGCGCATTATTTTCTTTATCTTTTCTTTCTTGACTTATACATTCTGGACTACTGGCTATTTGAGGTTAAAAAATTGTTTTTCTTGCATCTCTATTCTCAGGGAATTATACAACAGACTTGTTTCAAGTTTTATTGGCCATTGGACTTATAGCTACTAATCATCAAAACATAGTTTTAGATAAACAAAGTGATCTCCAGTCTGTGATAACCTATAACGGGCTCAACGAGGTTATTAATATCATTGGTTCTTCTTTTTTTTCATCAGTTAAGTGAATTTGTCATGATTAAATGTTTTTTATCCAAGAAGAAAGTGATTGAATACCTTGGCATTGAAATCATCATCAATCAGTATGTTGCTGGACTTGATATCTCTGTGCACTACTTTTGGCTCAATAGCCTCGTGCAAGTAAGCAAGCCTGCAAGAAAATATAAAGCAAGTGCAACCTAAAAGATAGAATTCAGATTCAAATAAAAATCAATCAACTTACGCCTTAGCAGTTCCAATGAGAACTTTCATCCTGGCCTCCCAAGTAAGATATCCATGCTGACGCATAGCCCCATGAAGCCATTGCTCTAAATTCCCATTGTTGACATATTCATAAACCAATATCCTGAAAATTTATGCTAAAAGTCAAACAAAGCCTAAAATCTGAGCCACCAGGACCCTTTTTAACAACAAATAGAAGAAATGGGAACCATTTAAGTAGAGGAGCAGTGGGTGCCTTCAACGCAGTATCCTAGCAGTTCAACTAAGTTTTTGTGTCGCACATGACCAATTGCCTCAACTTCCACTCTAAATTCTTTCTGAGAAAACTAACAAAAGAAAGAATGAAGAAATATGGCAGAGTTAGAAAACAAAATGATAACTTTATAATGTGTTTGTTCATCCATGATGAACCACTTGAATCTTGGCGTATGTGATTTAATGATCTGACTGGTTGTTGTTGTGATACTCTAGCCCGTTAATCTTTTATGGCCCCACGTGGGTTGTGGATAAATTAGTGGTGAAATCTGTTGTGTTTATGTGAATTCTGCTCCTATAATGAGTCTCTGCTAGTTCTTCATGCAAATAAATATGAAGAACCCAGATAGGACAGGGGATCAGAGGGCTCTTGATTGTTTTGCAATTGGGTTTATTTGAAATATGTTCCTGATGTAATCGTTTCTGGTCACGTACCATTTTTGTGATGTATAAATTTTTTAGCTAAGTACCTCGTTATTTGACCCGGTGGTGACGTGCCTTGGTGATGAGCTACTTGGTGATGAACTGCCTGGTGGCGAACTGCCTGGTAGCGAACTGCCTGGTGGCGAGCTGCCTGGTGGCGAACTGCCCGATGGCGAACTGCTTGGTGGTGAACTGCCTGGTGGCGAATTGCCTGGTGGTGAACTGCCTGGTGGCGAACTGCCTGGTGGTGAGCTCCCTGGTGGATTCATCATTTGACCTGCTCTTAGGCGGTCTGCAACTCAGAGGATGGTGGAGCTCCCTGGTTCAGCGCAACCCGACTACCCTCTGCATGAGGTGATTTCCCCTCCTTTGTAGGCGGCGGGAGCTGAGGTACCTGCGAGAACTGAACCAGAGGACCCGGGGGTATTTTCCCAGCGGGGACTCTCCAATGCCTAAGTTAGCATTCTGATTACAGAGAGCTTGGAGAGAAATGAGAGAGCTAGAGGACAGGGGTTACCATCCCTTTTCCCCTCTTTTCTCCCCTTTGGCTTTGGGGGTCAGAGTCCTTATATAGTGGTGTCCTCGCGGGTTAGGTGGGTGAAAAGCCTTCAAACGATAAGACTCATCATATCCCGTCAGAACTGGGGTACGGTGGTGAACTCCTCGAGGTTGTTAGGTTGGCGCCTGTATCAGGCGGCCAGGTCGGCGCCTGGGCCAGGTTGTCAGGCGGCCAGGTCGGCGCCTGGGCTAGGTTGTTAGGTCAGCGCCTGTGTCAATCAGCGGGTCGGTGTCTGGGCCAGGTTGTCAGGTTGGCGCCTGTGTCAGTTGGCGGGTCGATGTCTGGGCCAGGTTGTCAGGTCGGCACCTGTGTCAGTCGGCGAGTCAATGTCTGGGCTAGGTTGTCAGGCAGGAGATCTTCCTGCGATACGCCAAACTACTCTTATGTACCGAGCTACACTACAAGTGGCGAGCTGCCCGGGGGAGCTATGCCGAGCTCCTTGGGCTATGCCGAACTACTTGTGGCGAGCTTTGCCGAGCTGCCTGGCTCCTTGGTGGCAAGCTCCTTGGAGAGCTGCCTAGCTCCTTGGCGAGCTCTTTGGTGAGCTACCGAGCTCCTTGGTGAGCTACCGAGCTC